ACCCAACAGCGCTGCTGATGCCTGAACGGTATGTGGAATGAAGTGGGCGGGCATCGGGAGGCCACTATGGCACGGGGCAAGCACTATGGGCAGTCTATCTGAAGTGTACCTGGCGTATAAGACGACCCCCCACTTGGAGGCATATTTTTCAGGGCCAAAAAATCGTCTTATACGCCGGCAAATACGGTATGTTTATAAAAAACAACTCTGGAAGAATACACAAGAAACTAAAAATAGTGGTTCGCTGGTAAGGATAGGTAAGGAATCAGGTGGAAAGAATAAGGAGTAGGCTTTTTTCTGTAAACATGTTTATATTACTCGGATTTTATTTCAACAATATTACTTATTTGGGGTAGGCAGAAAGCTCCCTAAAGATGTCCACATCCTAAACCTTGGATCATGTGACTATGCTGTATTATATAACAAAGGGAAATCTGTAGATATCATTAAAGTCACAGACTTTAAAAAAGAAGAGAGCCCTGCCCAGTTTGGCTAAGTGGATAGAGCATTGACTGAAGGGTCACCGTTTTTTGTTGTTGTTTGTTTTTTAAAATCAGAAGCTTTGTTTTAAATGGAAAGCTGAATTCTGGAGAGAAAGTAGGTATTCCAGATGTGACTGCCTGGAGGAAGGGTAGTCCAGGCAAAAGGAAGTGCAAATGCAAAGGCTCTGAATCAGGAACTTGACTTGGTAGTTATAGGACCAACAAGGAGGATACCCTATGGGGGGCATGCAGGATTTCACTCTAGGGTGGAATTCAGGTCTGTCAGGCTTTCATGCCTCCCATTCCAGTGAAAGCAAGTTACAATGACCCACATTGCCAAATCCATGGCTCATTTCTCAGTCCTTATATTGTTTGGCCTCTCAAGCAGGATTTGGTAAGAGGCACTAGAGGTGAGAGTTAGGAGGCTACTACTATAATCTAGGTGAAAATGGTGACTTGGGTAGAGCGATGGCGGAGGTGGTGAGAAGTCAAATGATGGATATATTTGTAGATACAAAATGGTTTTGCTGATGGATTGGAGGTGGGATATGAGGGAAAGAAAGGAGTCGGGATGATTCCAAGATTTTTAGCCTGAATAAGTGGAAGGACAGAGTTTCTATTTACCCAAACTGAGGGAAGACTGAGTGAGGGCAGCACCCTCGTAGGGAGACTATTACATGTTCGATTAATTTGTAGTGTCTTTTAGACTCAAGTGAAGATATAGAGTTGCCCATAGGGGAGAAGGTGGGCTGGAAATATAATTTTGGGAATTATCAGTGTATATAAAATGTTATTTAAAGCGATGGGACTAAATGCACCAAGGAAGCGAGTGTAGGTAGAGAGGAGTAGAAGTCTGGTTACTGAATCCTGCCACACCCACTGTTTAGGGTCTAGAAGAAGAGAATCCAGGAAAGGAGAATGAAGAAGCAGCTCTGACAGCTAAGAAAATTAGTTATTTCAGAAGCTAAGTGAAACAAATGTTTCCAGAGGGAGGGAGAGGGTGGAAGTTTTGCAAACCATACAGAGAGGCCAAGCAATATGAGAGCTCAGACCTGACCAATGGATTTGACAGTGTGGAGGTCAGTGGTGAGCTGATCAATACTGCTGTTGTGCTTTCACATATTTGTCTTTTTTCTCTCTGTCTCTCCCTCTCCCTTCCTCTCCAAAAATCAATAAACAATCTCCCTCGCTGGTATGGCTCGGTTGGGTGTCCTCCCGTGCACTGCAAGGTTGCTGGTTCAATCCCCGGTGGGGGCATGTGGGAGACAGCCAATCACTGTTTTGCTCTCACATCATTGTTTCTCCCTCTCTCTTCCTCTCTCTCTAAAGATCAATAAAAATTTTAAAAAAGACACCTATTAAAAAACCTTATGGGAATGGATTTAAGAGAGTGAGGGAGAAATGGATTGGTAATGGAGAGGAATGTGGGAAAGTTTTTTTTTTGGACTATATTTTATTGATTTTTACAGAGAGGAAGGGAGAGAGATAGAGAGTTAGAAACATTGATGAGCGAGAAACATCGATCAGCCGCCTCCTGCACATCTACTGGGGATGTCGCCCCAAGGGAGAGAGATAGAGAGTTAGAAACATTGATGAGAGAGAAACATCGATCAGCCGCCTCCTGCACATCTACTGGGGATGTGCCCACAACCCAGGCACATGCCCCCGACCAGAATCGAACC